AAGAGTGTGAAAAGAATTCTTACACCACAACTAAGTGGGATTTGTCCCAGATATGCAAGACTGAGTCAGTATTTGAAAATAAATTAATGTAATCCATTGCATCTACAAACTAAAAAAGAAAAATCACATGATAATACAATAGATGCAGAAAAAGCATTTGACAAAATCCAACATCCATTCATGATAAAAACTCTTAGTAAACTTGGAGTGGAGGGGAATTTTCTCAACTTTATAAAGGCTATCTACAAAAATCTTGAAGCTAACATTAATATATACTTAATAGTGATAATTTCAAAATTTTCCCACCAAGATTAGGGACAAGGCAAGGATGTCCTTCTCACAACTTCTTTTCAAAATCATACTGGAAGTCTTGCTACTTCAATTAGACAAGAAAATAAAAACATACATATTGGAAAGGAAGACATAAATTACTTTTGTTTGCAAATGACATGATTGTCCATGTAGATTATAACACGGTTGCAGAAACAAGGTTAATATACAAGAGTCAATTGCTTTCCTATATACTAACAATGGAATTTGAAATAAAAAACACAGTACCATTTACATTAGCACCCCAAAAATTAAATACTTAGATATAAATCTAATAGCATATGTACAACATCTAAATGAAGAAAACTATAATACTCTGATGAATGAAATTAAACTAAATAAATGGAGAGATATTCCATGTTTATGGTTATAAAGATTCAATGTTGTCAAGGTGTCAGTTCTTCCCAGCTTAGTCTAAAGATTCACTGTGACCCAAATCAAAATCTTAGCAAACTATTCACTGTGACCCAAATCAAAATCTCAACAAACTGATTCTAAATTTTATGTGGAAGAGATAAAAGGCCCAGAATACCAGCGCAATATTGAAGAAGAAAATTTTAGGAGAACAAAATTGGAGGACTGCTGCTACCCAAACTTATAGCTTACTATACAAAAGCTACAGTTATGAAGACAGTATGGTATTAGTGAAAGAACAGACAAATAGATCAATGGAATAGACTAGATAACCCAGAAATAGACTCCCATAAATACAGACAACAAAGGGGCAAAACAATATAGTGGAGCAAAGATTATCTATTCAACAAATGGTGCTGCAATAACTGGACATCCACATGAAAAAAAAATGAATCTAGATATGGACTTTACATCCTTTACCCAATTTAACTCAAAATGGAGTCTATGGATTTAGAAGTAAAATGCAAAAGTATAAAACTCGTAGAAGATAACATAGAAGAGAACCTAAATGACCTTGGGTATGATGATGCTTTTTTAGATACAGCACCAATGACATAATCCACTAAAAATGTTTGATAAGCTGGACTTTATTAAAATTAAAAACTTCTGATTTATTAAAGACAATATCAAGAGAATTAGAAGACAAGCCACAGCCTGGGGAAATATCTGATAATAGACTATTATCTAAAATGTACAAATAATACTTAAAAATTCAACAATAAAAAAGTAATCTGATTATAAAATGGGCCAAAGACTTTAATGGACACCTTACCAAATAAGATATACACATGGCAAGTGAGCATATAAAAAGATTTTCTACCTCATACCTATTAGAATGGATAAAAGGCAGAAACACCAAGTACTGGCCATGTGAAGCAACAGAGACGCTCATATCTTGCTGGTTGGAAGGCAAAATGGCAGAGCCACTTTAGAAGGTAATGTGGTGGTTTCTTACAAAACTAAACAGACTCTGACTATATGATTCAGCAATTGTGCTGCATTTATCCAAAAAAGTTGAAAACAAGTCCACACAAAAACTGCATGTGGATGTGTATAGTAGCTTTATTCATAATGGCAAAAAGTTGGAAGCAACCAAGATGTCTTTTAGTAGGCAAATGGATAAATAAACTGTGGTATAACTAGACAAAGTGCTAAAAAGAAATGAGCTATCGAGCCATTAAAAGACATGGAGGAAACTTGAGTACATATTACCAAGTGAAAGAAGCCAATCTGCAAAAGCTCCATGCTGTATGCACCCAACTATATGATAATCTGGAAACAATTAAAAGATCAGTGGTTGCCATGGTTGGGGGCAGGAAGAGATAAATAGGCAGAGCATAGAAGATTTTTAGGGCAGTGAAAATACTCTGTATGCTATTGTACAGATGGATTTATGTCATACACTTTTTCAAACACGTTGAATGTACAACACCAAGGTAAGATAAACTTGAACTCTGTGTAATAATGACATGTCACTGTAAGCTCTTCCTTGTTAAAAAAGAAAAGTACCATTCTGGTGAGAGATAATGGTGGAGGCTATGCATGTATAGGACAAAGAGTATATGGGAAATCTCTATATATCCCTCTAAATTTTGTTGCAAATTTAAAACTGCTCTAAAAATAATTTTTGTAAAAACCCAATAACATCTGCCATTAAAAGCAAAACAACAACAGCAAAAAGGAAGAAGAATTGGCCTTTGTATTCTGTTGTGTCACGCCTTTCCTCAGACAATGAATGCTTGCTACCCAAGTGAGGGAAGGACATGCATGAATAAATCAGAGGCAATCTTGATTGCAAATTTGAAATGTAATTCTTCCAGATTATTATAATAACTGCACTTTTCTTAAGTCTCAGTTTAGAAAAAATCAAAGTGAAGGACCGCAAGATTGACTTCTGAGACAGAAAGCATAGAAGAAACAGCATAGGTGCTTAAATTTAATCTTCCCTTTGTTATTCACTCACAGTGTGATCTTAGAAAATCAGTTACTTTTTCAGAACCATACATTATCAACTTATAAAATAGGGACTAATAATATTTTTCTAAGATGATTGTGGTATTTCAAACTGAATATGATCATTCATATAAAGCACTGTGGCATGTCAAAAAATACTGTGTAAAGTTTAGATATCATTAGCCATTCTGTCTCTGTTTCTGAAATAAGATATATTCAATAATTGCTTGGTTTGCATTGGAATCTCTACTTATTCAAATTTCACTTCTAAGAAACATATATATGTATAATATTTAAGTGCTTGATACTTTTGTTCTCCAAATATTATTTATCAGAATTATAATAGTATCTATAGATTTTAGTGACTGCTACTTGTTTTTAAAAGTTATATATTTCTATAGCTGGTATCAGCTCAAACTTTACCTAGAGATTAAAGAAGTAAAAATTTTTTTAAAAGTATGTAGCATGTAGTCAAATACATAGACACACAGCTCAAGCACTTTCCATTAAAAAAGTTATTTAGCTATTCTAATAAATAAAAAGAAGAAATCAAATTCATATATCTCAATTTTCAAGTTTGTTAGTGAAACTGGTTGTTTTCAGAAGGTGATACAGACTATAATAAACTTTATTATAACCATAAGCCAACATGGTTGAAAGCCTTTACACTCTTGAGAGTAAAGACACATATTCATCAAACGATGTTATGAACTAATTCTAACTAGGGTAACAGATAAAAAGGTGGGTTCACCTTTGCTTAATGCTATTGAAAGAATACACAACACTCTTGGGTATATGTAGGAGTAGGAGAGACTCCTCCTCCTCTCCCTCCTCCTCCTCCTCCTCCTCCTCCTCCTCCTCCTCCTCCTCCTCCTCCTCCTCCTCCTCCTCCTCCTCCTCCTCCTCCTCCTCTCCCTCCTCCTCCTCTCCCTCCTCCTCCTCTCCCTCCTCCTCCTCTCCCTCCTCCTCCTCTCCCTCCTCTCCCTCCTCCTCCTCCTCCTCTCCCCCCTCCTCTCTCTCTCTGGAACCGAACCTCAGACCCTTCAGTCCACAGGCCGACGCTCAATCCACTGAGCCAAACCAGTCACGGCTGTTCTCTCTTCCTTTTCCCTAGTAGAAGAAACGTGGAAAGGCAGAGGGTTTTTAATCTGTACAAAAAGGAGGGGAAAAAACTCTACTTGGACACAGAGCAGTCTAAGTAAGATCCCAGAGGCTTGAAATAGTGTATAAGTGGCGGAATTATGATGTGTTCCAACCATAAAGTGAAAGAAAGGATGGAAGGAGATGAGGTTGGAGAAAGGGGTCCCAGGCTGTCCTCACATGAAAGTCATTACAAAGCTTCTCTTTCCCACACTCCCTTCTCACTCTTTCCCTTTCACCAGGTTCATCTATTTGCTTTAAAATAACCCCTCAATTGAAAATTGAAAAGAATTCAGGAAGGAAGACTTGCAATATAAATGGCATCTGTGAATGCTTTGCAAATTAATCCGTTATATACATCATTCTTTTTGAGGTTGTTTTATCTTCCTTCTAAAGAACTCAGAAACTCAATGGCAACTTGAAACAGAACCCAATTTAGTCCTGTCATTAGACCAAGAGGGTTTTCTTCTCCCTGGTCCTCTGTCAGATTTTAAATGGATGTGGTTTTATTCCGCTTCTCCTTTAATACTGGAACATATCCATCTATAGCGAGATCTCACTTTTAAATGATGTTGTATTTCAAGAGACCTTTTAAAGGGGAAAAATAATAGCTCCACTCTACACAAAGCTCATGGCTGGAAAGTGAGTCTATTTATCTCCAAAGATTCAACAAATTCTTACGAAGTTTTGGGCCCAAATTCTCGGTGGCTAGAGGAGGAGGTGGGGTTCAGAAGGGTGACATGACTTGCTCAGAGTCACATAGCTAAGTTAGTGTGTCACCTGTGTACTTTCTTTCTTCTCATAGCTATTGGGTACTTTCCCTCAAAGTGAGACCCAGACTCTGGTTGGAACAAGAATTCCTGTCCTATGCTCTTCTGAGATATAGCACCCTAGAGAATTAAAATGTTCAGTTGTTGCCATTGTCTGGTGTAAATCTCTCTCTATTCACCTGTTTCCCTTGGGAGAGATGACTCAGTGGACCGTGGCTGAAAACCCCACATAATCCAAACCTTGATGATCTGTTTGGTTTATTCTCTCAATGGACCTCTTCTCTGTAGCCACACACCCCTTCTGTCCATTCCAGGGTCTGTGCATTTATGTATTGCCCACATTCAATCATCCTACCAGCCACTGTTCACCCGCCTAATCCTCTCTCATTCTTTAGGTCTTATTTTAAATGTCCCCAAGGCAACCACCACCAACCACTGACTTCTCAGACTATCAGAAATATAGCTACCTGTACCATCTATTCATCGCACTGATCACATTTGTGAGTATTTAATTGAGGGTCTCTCCCACTTCTTCATAAACTTCATGAAAATGGGAATGGAGCTAGTCATTCCCTTCATTGCCATAGAAGTAGTCGTGTGTTGATGAACTAGCCAATGTGGCCTTCAGGCTCTGGGATGGAGGAGAAAAAGCAGGTGCTTTTGTTATAAAGGACAATGGGCCATGAATATAATTGGGACTCACTAAAAGAATCCAGATTAAGGGTGAGGAGGGGGTCTATGTACTGTGCAGTGTGAAAGGAGCAACCAGAGAATGGTCAGGTAGGAATGTTAATTGCCTCTTGACTGGACCCCTGAGGAGATTCTGTAGGCCCTCTCCATTCTCTTTGGGGGTAAGACACCGTAATGGGGACGAGAAGTTAACCATAAAAATTTCACCACTAGACTAATTTCCTGGCTTCGTGCAGTCAAGAATAGTGATGACTGCTCCCAGACCCTGATATTTCTCCTGTCTTGTTGAGCCTAACAATATTGGAATGGTACAGAGAGTGATTTCAAAAATCCTTGAATTTTTATAAACCTGATAATTAAGAATTTAAAATAATCATGTTGGGCCCTCTTACTGGTACTTTGTTAAAGTATGTTTATATTAGTAGTTCATGTTTCTATAGCTTTTAAAATTTTACAAATGATTTTTCCCCTAGATTACGTCATTTGAACCTCCCACCAAGTACGTAAGGTAAGTTAACTAAGAAATTTTAAATAACTAGCTCAAGGTCAACCAATATCCCAGATGCTTCAAGGGGATTTACCAGTCATAGCTTCTTTGGGTCTTTCCGCCAAGGTGAGCCACTGAGCTGAGGAGTGCATTAGATCCTGGCTGCACACTGCTCCTGTGCCCAGCGTCACTAGCCCATGAATGAGATGATCTCAATGAACATAGATGACAAAGCACAGGGACTCTCCAGTCACTGTGTGAAAGTACAGGTTTAAGGAACATTAATCTCTCACTGAAGAAATCTTTGACAGTCTACCTCTCCTTGGTGCTATATATTGGGCCCATAAAAAGTCTACAAGTTCTGTACAGTGTAAAATAATAAATATAAGAATGATAAACCAGTTTCTTGAAGGAAAATGGATGCAGAAATTGTTAACATTTAGAATCCAGAAAAAATTGCAAAATCCAGCAATTCTTGTACAATTCAGTAAACATGAAAGCATGATGTGAAAACAACTGAAAATAGGTATTAACAAACTCCAGAAAAGGAAAGGCAAACAAAAAGAATCCACTAAGTTATTAATGAGAGTATCATTTATATAGACATTTTTCTTCAAACAAAACTACGAATCTTCAGACCTTTCACTGAATGAGAGCATGATGTATAAGTGGTGTGGCTAAAAAAAAAATGATGAGAGCTCTAATAATTACCTTTATTTGTCCCTTGCTGCATTAAGTGACCAATGGAGCACCCCGAGACCCCTGGGTGCAGCATGGAGGCGTGGGTACACGTTTTACCATGAAGAGAATTAGGTAAGCGATTTCAAGTAAGATTCTTAATGCACCAGTTTACTCATCCATGAAATGAGGATGATGATCTAATTCCTATCTCACAAAGAGGTTTTAAAGATTTTTTTTTTTTTGAAAGCAATCTAGCCCTAGCCAGTGTGGCTCAGTTGGTTGGGCGTCATTCCAAGCATGGAAAGGTTGCCAGTTCAATTCCCGGTCAGGGAATTGGCCTCATGAAGCATAGTCAGGAGACACAAAAAGGGAAAATTATGGGGAGCAAGGGCTAAGATCATTCATTCATTCATTTATGTGCTTAGTTAACCCACCTTTATTTTTGTTTTTATTGTTCTATAATGTTTTTCAAATTTTTTTTCAAAATATATTTTTTTCAAAATATATCAATGTTTTTCAATTTTTTTTTTCATTATTGGCATTTTCTCCATCCCAACTGAACTCTTCTCCCGTGAAATGTTTGTCCCATAGATATACTTTGTATCTGTTTATGGATTCTAACCCTTTGGAGGGTGAAACACCATTATATTATCTAAGATTTTTTTCGCCCCCTTGGTGGTCATATCACTCCCAGTGAGAATGCAGGTACTATTTGTCAGAAACAATGGTGAACAAGGCAGATGAAGTTTCTGTCCTTAGAGTGCTGATAATGTAGTAGGGTAGACAACCACAAATAGACAATTGCACAGCATGATGAATGCTACAGTTGGGGTAACAGAGAACCAGCTAACTTACTCCAAGTGGCAAAGCCATCTCCCAGCCCCCACATCCAAGATGGGAGCCTTTCTTCAGTTGAGTGTCAGTGGGATGCTGTAGAGGACTGAACTACTGAGGCATCAGTCTGAGCCAGTTAGGATTTTGCTGTTGTTGTTTTAATATATCTTTATTGATTTCAGGGAGGAAGGGGGAGGGAGAGAGAGATAGAACATCAATGATGAGAAAGAATCATTGATCGGCTGCCTCTTGCATGATCAGGGATCAAGCCTGCAACCCTGGCATATGCCCTGACCGGGAATTGAACCATGACCTCCTACTTCATAGGTCGACACTCAACCACTGAGCCACCAAGGCCCGGTGCCAGTTAAGTTTTGAATAGTTTCAAAATTAAAAGGCCGTTATTATTAACAAGAAAACAACTAATTCAGTTTAAAATGTCCCTGATGAAGCTTGGAGGACACAGTAGACTTCTGTTTAATGCCTGCATAATGCTAAGAGGCTGCCTGAAGAGGCCAGCAAGTGGAGAGGGTTGCTTGGGGGAAACTGACTGTACTCCCACTGAGAGATAATCAAAGGAGCTGGAGTCTTTAAAACCAGATGTGGAACTTGCAGTAGAAATGTTGGCCTGGGGCTATTTTAAAAGGGATGATGCCCACGAGGGTCTCTGCCAGAGGGCATGGCATCTGCAGCGGAAAGAACTAAAGGTGAACTGGTGGCGGATGCTGGAGCTAAGGAGAAGCTGTTGGTGGCAGGCAGGGTCCTGCGGGAGTTGCAGGGCTGTATTCAGAGGCCAGTAGAAGGATCAGGAGGACAGAGTGACCACAAAAGGCTTTCAACATCTGCTGTGGCCAGAGGAAACTCACACCAAAGATGATCAGTGCCAGCCCAATACAACCTGCCAGCCCTTCCTTTCTCTCCCCCACTTCATCCTTCCTCGGGCCAATGAGTGCAAGGAAGAGAGAGAAGGAAAAGATAGAGAGATAAAGAAGGTAATTAATCACACACTTCTTTTCCTCTTGAGAAGTTATCCAGCCTGGTACAGGTACAAACTGGAGGACAAAAGAAAATTCAACCTTAAATTCTAGAGATTAAACCTTTCCCCCCATCTTGGACATATTAATTACATAAATGACACTTTTTGTATTAAAATTGACTGGAGGAATTTTCATTATCTGAGAGTAAGTACAAAACTATGAAACTTGCCCAAGAGTTTGTAAGAAGTGGGAAAACTAGCTCCATAGGACAGGCTAGTTCTGAACTGCTGTGCGGGACAGTGTAGGATTGCTTCTGACGGCCCTTTAGGCAGATTGTGTATTCAACTTAGTGGTTATACTTGGGCACAATCCTACCAGGGGCCCTACTGGGCCAAGAGAAAGCTGCCTCTGTTTCAGAAGGTGGGGTGAAACCAACCAGGCCCCCTGGGCTATGAGGCAGAGACCCAGCAGGAGCTAAAGGAGATTGAGGCTGAGGAAAAGTAGATCCCAAGTGGAAGGAGGCAAACCTCATCAGTAGAGGTGAAATGTCAACTTCGGGATGTGGCTGGGCTAGTCCTTCCTTAGTGATGCAGACCCAACAGTTGACACACAACCACCGGGAACCTAGGTGAGGCTGTGCAGATCAGCAGACACGTCCCTCCACCTACAAGATCATACAAACCCTGCCACACGTATCCTCCTCCATGCTCCAGATTTCATTTTAGAGTGCAGGATACTGAACTAGGAGAGCTTGAGCAAAGAGACCATTCCCTAAAGGGATTGTTGTTTAATTTATTACACTATAAATTATATTTGTTTGTTTTCCATTGCCATCCAGACAGAGGGAATGGCTGAGGAAAATCAGACTAGTTTTAGGCAAAATAAATAAACATGTTACTTGCCCTTGGGATTACAATTAAGTACATTCTGTAATGCCTCCACTATGCATTTAGCCTGGGCACTTAAATACCATAATTAAAATGTTGGACACATAGTTGTAATTCCTGTTCATTGGCTTTCCCATTACCCAGGGACCCATGTATTTTTCCACCACTGATAAAGCAAGGGCAATCCTGACTCCAGTTCTTATTTTTAATGTGGTCCTTTCCATGCGGCTCATGTTCTTCTTCACGATGCTTGATATACAGCAGTACTCAATGCATGACGAGTGAACAAACAAGGCATCTTCTATTACAATAATGTGTCTGAAACCCAATGGATACAGGCTTCTGCATACACTTTTGCACTTCCTGAAGTCTACTTCCCAGAGTATTTAGCTGAACATCTTAACTATAGCATCTGCTCTTACTCTTTCTGAAACTCCTTTTTACTTCATCTGCCTTTGTCTCTGCACATCTGTACTCTTGTATTTGCATTTGCCTCCCGAATGAGAGATATTCCTCTCTGTTTGGTCATGAAAATCTTTCATGCATTTATTTACCTAGAACTCTGCATTAATTTTTTTTCTTAAATTGGTTTTCTTAATGGTCACAAACTTCTGGGCTTCTTGTCTTGTGTTGCTTTTTGCATCCTATTTATCTTAGAAGAAGTCTTCTAAAGAAAGCCCCTAGAGCCCGGCCAGCATGGCTCAGTGGTTGAGCATTGACCTATGAACCATGAGGTCATGGTTCAATTCCCGGTCAGGGCACATGCCCGGGTTGCAGGCTCAGTCCCCTAGTGTGGGGTATGCAGGGTGTAGCTGGTCAGTGATTCTCTCTCATCATTGATGTTTTTATCTCTCTCTCCTTCTCCCTTCCTCTCTGAAATCAATAAAAATGTATTTAAAAAGGAAAGAAAAGAAAGCCCCTAGAGAAAGTATGACCACAAGGTCCGTAATCTCAGGTCTCATCTTCTTTCTGATCCTGCTGACATTGGCCACAGTGACCATTTGCTGTACCTACCTCTGGGGTCCCTGTTTTGATTACAACTTTATGGTCTGTTAGGGCATTTGGACCTCAGCAGTTTCCAATATTTCCCTTTGGTCTCAGCCCTCTGGATAGAACTGTAATCTTCTCATCCTAGGTTTGGGAATGAATAACTTCCGGGCAATGGGTGGCTATGAAAACAATCTCTCTAGAACTTATATTTCTTTTTCTTGTTACTGATATTTATGCCTTTGTTTATTCTTCTCCCATAATGAGAAGGGCTGACCTGTGTAAGCAGTAAGATATTGCAGAAATGAAGATGTATAACATCCAAGCTAGGTTGTAAAATATATGTGGCTTCCACCTTGCTGTAGGTGAGGCCAGGCACTGAGTCATGAGGACACTCAAGTAGCCCTATAGACAGGTTCATGTGGTGAGGAACTGAGGCCTTCTGCCAACACCCAGCACTAACCTGCCAAACTTGTGAGTTAACCATCTTGGAAGAGTATCCTTTAGTCCATATCAAGTCTTATGATGGTGCATCTCCAGTTGACATATTGACTTCAACTTCATGAAAGATTGAGCCAGACCACTTAAGTAAGCTGTTCTCAGATTCCCAGCTCATAAAAATTATGTGAGATAATAAATGCATAATGTTGTTTAAGCTGCTATGTTTTAGAATAATTTGTAATGCAATAATAGATAACTCTCAACCTAGAAAAATCTATACTGAATTTGGTGTGAAAAGTATGATGGCACATAGTTGACTTGAGGGAAAATAATTTGGGAAGTCATAGCAAGGTTACTCTTCCTAAAAATCCAATAAGAGACGGTGGCATATGATCTTGGAATATAAAGGACAATGGTGGTAACACCAAGGCCACATCATGAGTCAAAAGAAGCAGCCACAGTTAAGACTCCCAGGAAGAGAAGGACATATGACTAAGTGAGATAAGATTCTATTGGTTTTTAAAAGAGAAAGGGTACATTCCCATTACTTTGTTCAAGGTAAGCAAAAGGTTTTGAAGGAGTTAGAGGGGACTTATAAAAAAATTATCTTTACCATTGCAAAAGTTACTGATGACTTCTGGTTTTAATTCCCTTTCAATAATTCAGACAACATTCATGAAGCATAGTAAATAATATAATATAAATAGACATGTTACTTTTTTGTTGTTGTTAATCCTAACCTAAGAATAATTCTTCCATTGATTTTTTTTTTTTAGAGAGTAGAAGTGAGGGAAGGGAGGGAAGGAGAGAGAGAGAGAAGGAGAGAGAAAGAAACATGGATGTGAGAGAGAAACATCAATTGGTTGCCTCTCCCATGCACCCTGACAAGGGCCAGGATCAAACCTGCAACCCAGGCACATATCCTTGACCAGGAACCAAACCTGAAACTCTGGTGCCCAGGCTGGCACTCAAATCACTGAACAACACCAGCCAGGGGCAGACATGTTACATTTATCAAGAAAAATAAGCAACACATATGTCGCATGGAAGATATTTTCAGTTGATAAACCATTTGATTACAAATAAGAGCATATATTTTGAAAAGGATTATTATGTGATGATTTAGCTTGCTCAGAGCTGATAAAGCCAGTCTCTACTCATGAACAGACTCTAAAGCTGGTTCAGCTTTATCAAGTTGACTCAGCAATGCTGGAGTATATTATAAATACTTGAAAGCAGCTGCTACAACATATTTTTAATCCCTGCAAATCTCTTCCCACTCAAGAGGCCACATGTTATCTAGGAACTATTCTATTCCACTGAAGCTTTTCTAGAAACCCATACACCTGGTTTACGCACCAAAGAGCCTGCCAAATGTATTTCCTCAGCACAGGGCTAACAATTGGTTGAATTAAAACTAGAACTTTATACCAGCCATGCAATTTAAAATTTTAAATTAAAAAAAAAAAAAAAACAGTAACAAAAGCTCCTGGCCCTGCTTACCAAAAATATCTGCATTTCTCACTACAGTGACATTTACAAGGTTACAAGCTAGGGTACAGATGGGACAGCATAATGTTACTGTAAGAATCAACTAAAATAGATTTCTTTGCAGGGAATCTTGACAACAGCACAGTTAAAAGCAGCAACTTCTCTAGAACCATTTAGTATCAACAATTTTGTTTACATAAGAAACTCAGAGTGACAAAAATGCAAGAAATAGACTTTTTTCCTTTATCAGTGTGAATGCTGAAATAGGTTTACCTGATCTTTCTATAGCCTATAGTATTATCCTATATAAAAAAAGGGCAATATGCAAATTGACCCTAATGGTGGAACGACCGGTCGCTATGATACACACTGACCACCAGAGGGCAGACACTCAATGCAGGAGCTGCCCTTGGTGGTCAGTGCACTCCCACAGGGGGAGCACTGCTCAGCCATAGGGCGGGCTGACAGCTGCGAACGCAGTGGCTGTGGCGGGAGCCTCTCCCGCCTCCTCGACAGCTCTAAGGATGTCCATCTGTGGCTTAGACCCGCTCCCCATGGGAAGCGGGACTAAGCCATCAGTCAGACATCCCCTGAGGGGTCCCGGACTGCAAGAAGGCACAGGTCAGGCTGAGGGACCCCCTTAAGTGCACAAATTTTCGTGCACTGGGCCTCTAGTAGTCAATATTAGAGACAGCCTCAATGAAATGGTTTTGGCTAAGGACTTCAGGGGTATAGCCAATGTAATTCAATATTTTTGTTGGGTTTTCTGAGTTCTGTTTGGTGCTTTTTTCCTGTGTTCTTACAGTTGTTTGCTATTGCAGTAACTGGAGGCAGAGTTTACGTAGCATATAATAAATAGCTTTGTGTAGAGCTTGTTCACCTCCAATCAGCTTCTCATTCTTATTTCAAGAGAATATCCATTTATAGGGGACACCAATTTGATGAAGGGATACTGTATAGTGTATTCACTGAAAGGGATTTGGGGAAATAGGGGTTCTAGCATTAGTGTGCATCAGCATTATCTCATCATTATAATACAGATACTCAAGACCTCCTTAGGCTTATTCAGTCAGGTTGGCTCCTGGAATGTATATACACCACCATGCAATTCTGGAATGTACCAGTGATTGAGAACCAGTGGTCATTTGGAGAGAAGGGCAACCAGGGAACAGAACCACTGGCCACCTTTGCTTGCTTCCCACATGCATTTCCCAAGAAAGGGCTTCTCTGCTCTCTGGACACTAGTATTTGATGTCCCAGGAGGACTTGATAGGCTTTCCTATTCAGTCCTAGAATGAAGCTCATTCTCTCCCAGAAGGAAATGAGAATTAAGCTCCATAGAGCAGTAAATTTAAAAAAAAATATCCCTTGACTTACTTTAGCATCAACTTTTAGATGAAAGAGGTATCCACTTTACATCTTTGAAAGAAGGAATAAAACTGCTAATGGCAGTCATCAAATTTCATAACATTTAAAAGGGAGCTATTCTGGCAGTAAAACTTAAATATTTTTTAAAATTAAATATTTTTTATATTGATTTTAGAGAGAGAGGAAGGGAGGAGAAATAGAATCATCATTGATCGGCTGCTTCCTGCATGCATCCTACTGGGGGTTGAGCCCGATACCCAGGCATGTGCCCTGACCGGCAATCGAACCAGCAACCTCTTGCCTCATAGGTCGATGCTCAACCACTGAGAAACACTGGCTGAGCAAGACTTGATCTTCCAAAAATACAGTTAAATCTTTCAGGTAGCACATTTCTTATAACATATTATATAGTAGAACACGTGGCAATAGACATTTTACAACAGGAAAGGAGCAGATACCCTCATCCAGTCCTACAGATTTTTCATTGTTATAAATACCCATTTTTGTGCCTTCAATCAGATGAGCTACCATCTTTCAGATTGTGGTTTGAAGGAGGCTTAAGCTATGCTATGTAGTATGTATAACATCAGAAACCAATTAATTATCTCTCTCTGTGTCTCTGACTATAGTTTTGCTTTCCAATGGTTGATTAATAATGAAAGAGAATCATTTCCACCTCTCACATCTGGAAACACATAGAATTTTAAGGAAACATCTGAAACAAACCCATTGGTTCCTCCACCATCTTCTGATGGTGTTGGCAGGGTAGCATCAGGATGCTTCCAATTACTTACAAGCCACAGGGGGGGGGAGCGATTGCAGATCTAAGATCTGGCAGTAGTTTAGCCCTCTGCAAAAGTATGGCTGTGCATGGGCTTTGCTTCAGTGTTTCCTTGTCCACACTGTATGAAAAGTACAGCTCCATTCTGCCTGCTTCATTATATCCTGGATCACAGATGAAAAAACGAAGCTCTGCTGGAAACGAGCACAGGGGCCTCTATAGGACTGAGCCTTTGAGTCTGCGCATTTTCGTTTCTGAGCAAATTATCACCACTAGAGATTTACAAGGTATGAAGACAGTGTCAGAAAAGCATCTCTAGGCATTTTTGCAAGTGCCTAGGCATGCAGATTAGGTTTAGTTCTTTGTCCTAAGAGTTCTGCACAGGTTTCCTGTTATCTCAAACAGATGTATGAGAGGTATATTTGCATTTTCCAAATTAAAACTCAGTCAATAATAGCTTTTGGCAGATACTCAGACAACAGGAGTAGTCAGAGATCAAATTCAAGGGAAGGCATGCCAGGCTTGTAATAGGAACAGAAGGCCCAGAGTAGGGAAGATAAGACAGTTGTTTCTAAGACCTTGGAGGCATCAGGGGACCGAAGCATAAGGAACAAGCAGGGTCAGTAACAGCATTCCACGGACAGTAGCAAAAGCCATTTCAAAAGGCTACCGGGAACTGCCTTATGATCCAGAGATTCCGCTTCTGGGAATATATCCTAAAAATCCTGAAACACTCATTTGAAAGAAGATATGAACCCCCATGTTCATTGAAGCATTATTTATAATAACCAAGATATAGAAGCAGCCCAAGTGCCCATCAGTGGATGAGTGGATAAAAAGGCTGTGGTACATATACACCATAGAATGCTACTTGGCTGTAACAAATAAGGAAAGCTTACCCTTTGTGACAGCATGGGTAGACCTGGAGAATATCATGCTTAGTGAAATACACCAGTCAGAGAAAGACAAATACCCTGTGATTTCACTTATATGTGGAATCTAATGAACAAAATAAACTGACAAACAAAATAGAAACAGACTCATAGATACAGAGGACAGACTGACAGTTGTCAGAGGGGAGGGGGATTGGGGGGCTGAGTGAAAAGGTAAAAGAATTAAGCAAAACAAAACAAAACAAAGGAAACACCTCCTAGACACAGACAACAGTATGATGGTTACCAGAGGGAAAGGGAAATAGGGGGAGATAGAAGAAGGTAAAGGGGGAATAAATGGTGAAAGAAGGAGACTTGACTTTGGGTGGTGAATACAATGCAATATACAAATGATATAGAATTGGTCACTTGAAACCTATATAATTTTATTGACCAATGTCACTCCAATAAATTCAATAAAGTTTTTTTTTTAAAGCTATAGGAAGGCAAAGTCCAGACTGTACTGCTGGATCAGATGCCAGAGGAGGTAGCTGGCATTGAGGATTAAGTGGGGGAAGGTAAGACACATTTTATCGAATGATTTGCTTGCTGCCGGTCCTAGACTTCCTTTGGCCAGCTGTGACTGATGAGGCCTTTGTTCTGGATGACATCTTAAAGGTACCATATAATTCTCTGATGCTGCTTTAACATGTCACCAAGAGACACAAAGATTAAAACATAGAGTGTAGATTCAGACAGTTATCATTTTTAAATTTTATTTTCTAAACTGACTGTTCACTTTATATCTGGCAGGTGGATAATTTAAGTTATGCAGAGCTCTGGGGAAGATAGACTCTAGATAAATTTCTACTTTGCCTTAGCCGTTATAGAAACTAGTTTTATATAAAAATGTCATCATGTGGATGAGAGGTTTTGTTATTATTTTTTCTTTCAAATGTGATAAGGTGGGAAAATCATTAGAATGGGCATGAGAAGACTGGAATTGTAATCCTGCCTAAACAGAAATATAAATTTAGGCAAACATTTAATCTTTTAGACTTTTTTCATTTATTAAGCGAGGCTAATAAGTTATTCATTGGCTAATACACATTTAGTGAGAAAAAATTTGATAATGCATATAAAGAACTTTAGATTTTTAAAAATCATTACTATAGACCCTAATTTTAAGCTATGATAATAAAGAAATTAGGACTGATTCTTAAATCCTTATTTTATAAATATTCTTATATCATCATTACATCAATAAAGAACGTAGGATCACCACTTGGATGGATGATTGAGCAGATATCCCTGCCCTCTAGTAATATATCTGCTAAGAGAGAAAATAAGCATATGTCCCAATTGCTTTCCCAGTATTTATGATCTCATCTACCGTTCTACCTTGGTTCTAAATTTCCCAGTTGATGAGTTTGAGTGAGATTAATGCCTCCACTAGTTATTGCAATTAGTTTTATCTAAAGAATGGTCTAAGGGTTGGTTTGGGGAAAAGAGATTTGGTAACCAAACCAAGGCTGGTCTAATCAGAGTGAATCTCAGCCATTTTTCTCAGAATGTTGGAGCACAGAATTGATGCTGTGAGGATGAGAGGCTCGGAGCAGCCATAGCCACAAAGAGGAAGATCCAGGAGCTACTTGCAACCACACAAGTGGAAGCAGTGCCTAGATCTGGATCCCCGTGAATAATTGAGGTCCACGATAAGGTACTCTCCCCCACCATTCTCTCCCATTCCCCTGGAGATTCTGATATAGCAAGTCTGTGATCTGGGACCCAAGGCCATTTCAAAAACCCCTCAGGTGATCTTCCCTTGCACCCAGGTTTGAGCATCACTGTCCTGTAGATTATTAAGGGATGAAACCAAGGAAACCAAAGTGATGTTAACTACAGAATGAAGGATTTTTTCTGAGCATGCAGTTCTACAAATCACATTTATTCATGTTTTTATTTATTAGTAGAATTAATTTGTCCTTTGATACAATATACTTGCTCATTATTAATAACCCACCCATTTAATTATTCTATTATTTATCTAGTTTCTATTGACTTCCTATTTATTGCTAAGTGTGGCCATGGGGACTTGGCAGTATGGAGGCATTGGAGGAAGAAGGCCTGTGTTCCCTACTAAATTCTGAGCAGGGTAACTTACCATGCAGTGGTGTAGGACTTCTGTCCCGAACGTGTGGGGCTGGTTATAAACCACATATACACACAAAAAATGATGGGTGCAAATATAATGGGTGAACTTTCTTTTATATCTTAATGAGGCAAAAAAGGTTTCCTAAGTGTGAAGAGGAAATGGTTTCATCCAGTTGGGGGAGGGGTCCGGGATGACTTCGTAGAGGAAGAGGAACATGTATATACCTTGAAAAACGGTTTGAATTTGGATAGGGGAGGAGAGTCAAACAAAAGTGAGAGGGAGAAGCATATTTCAGGAAGAGTCAATAGCCTGGTTGGACTGTTTCAGATGAAGGTGTAAATTTAAGCATCGCCATGTTTATCTTCCCAGCACAGAATACTGATGTACAATTCCACACTTGTTCTTTCGTGAAAATGAAGCCTGTAAAACGATTTTTATACACTGTTGACACCTCATCTGTTCACATGGGCCACAGGCTTCTATGTACAGGTAGTGTGGCTATAATGTAGTCATGTTGGTGCCCTATTAAGTTTGTTAAAAAGGGGTTCTACCTGTCATGTGTCGTTAGCTTGTTTCAGTCAGCTCTTAAATCAATATTTAAATAAGGAAACCAGGAGACCCAAGGGACAGAAAGTCCTTGCCACAATGTGTATCTAAGGGTTTTCCTTAAAAGAAGTGAAAAATAAATAAATAAATAAGTGTTGAAAACTTAGGAGGGTTTAAGGAGTGCAAAGTGCTTGCTTTTTTGCATGCTGTTCTTGGATGCAGGCCATTTTCACAGTACCCAGCGGTGTTTTATGTTTTAACTAATTTATTGGGGATTTTATTTCTTGACCCTTAATCCAGGAAACACCACATAAGAAACACACTGAGGAAACTTTGCTATCATAAATTTTAAATATACAAAAAATGATCATCTTTAGGTGTACCAAGTACCTTGAAAGTTTGTTCCAAAGCAGATCACAGAAAATCATTAAACCTTAAGAAAGCATGGGGGGGGGGGGCACAAGGGGGGTGGGTAAGAGATCAACCGAAGGACTTGTATGCATGCATATAAGCATAACTAATGGACATAAGACACTGGGGGGTAGGGGAGGCCAGGGGATTGTCAAGGGCGGGGAAAAAAATAAAGGAGACATATGTAATACTCTTTGTAATACTTTAAGCAATAAAAAAAAAAGAAAGCATAGGAGAGAATGTTTTTCTTCATCTGATCTGATTACAACTATTGAATTGAGGTTTAAGTAGAACACATTATAATGCACTCATCATTAACATAATGTGGCTCAGCAGCTCCATAGCTTTACTAGGAGCAAATGCTGGTTCCATAGGACCAGCTGGGATGCCCCAGGTTTCTTCCTCAAATGGACTTTTGTGGTTAGTACATTATATGCCACACTAGAGGCCTGATGCATGAAATTCGTGCAAGAGTAGGCCTTCCTTACCCTGGCTGCCAGCACTGGCTTCCCTCTGGCCCCCAGGACCCAGGCTTCTCTCACAGCCCCAGCTTCATCAGAAAGGTCATCTGCTCTAATTAGCATATTACACTTTTATTATTATAGATGCCTCTGGTATCTTTGATACCAGGTATTGCTTACCTGCTCTGTTCCTGTCCTCAGAGCAGGCCCTGCTCAGCACCTCAACTGACATTTGTTTCTATCAGGAGGTTCCTCTTAATTCTGGCTCCAGGGTTTATCTAATCCACCCCTGGCGGTTACTCAGCTTCACCCTTGACCTCTAGATTCTAAATTACCTTCTTTGGACCCCCATGACTCGCCTGCTGAGTTGGGGCTCTTGCTGTCTCTTCACATGGAACTCTTTGCTTCCTGCCACATTCTTCCAAGTGGCAGAAATGGCTGTCTCCTAATGGAAGTTCAACTATGTTTAACCCTTTTAGATTGAGGAAGATCTAATTCCTCTGGGTCCTCCCCCCACTTTTTTAAATCTTTCATCTAGAATTTATCACCATTAAAATGTATGAAGAGCATTTCTTTTATAACAAAACAAAATTTCTTAATATAATCCTCCCAGAATATATTAACACAGAGGACCAGAAGCAAGCATCCCCATCCAATCTTAGTATATTTGTTTCTTTATCATGACAGGTTATAATTAGGATTTATAGTTGCTACATAATTAAAATGTATTTTGTGGCCAAGTTAAATAGTACTTCTACAAAAATTCATCTACATAGCCCGGCTGGCATGACTCAGTGGTTGGGCGTTGACCTGTGAACCAGGAGGTCATGGCACATGCCCAGGTTGTGGGCTCGATCCCCAGTGGGGCATGCAAGAGGCAGCTGATAACTTATTCTCTCTCATCATTGATGTTTCTATATTTCTCTCCCTCTCCCATCCTCTCTGAAAACAACAAAAATCTCTTTAAAAGATTCATCTATATATTGAAAAAGACTTTTTGAGTTATCGGAGAATTTTTTAGTTGGATAAGGTGTGTAGTATCATTGGCTTTCCACTTAGAATGCAGTTATCTATATTTTTTATTAACAAGTGCTTCTTGTGTGAAGCCCAGTGCTTCTCTTAAATATGTTCATGAACCAGCTGTGGATCTTGTTAAAATGCAAGCTCTGATTCAGGAGGCCCACGTTAGATCCTGGTTAGGACCTGAGAGTCTACATTTTTAACAGCTCTTGCTGCTGATACTGTAGGTAGCGAGCTCTAGAGCAGACAGTGACTTCATCTGTATTTTTAGAATCCTAAAGAAACAACATCTAACACACAGTCAGTGCTCAATGTATACTAAATGAAGGGAGGAATAAAATAGTTTAAACAAATGTTGATAATTTGGGGAGGTTAAGAGTTTATTGCATTAAAAATCTCAGAGTAAAAACATAGGTCATTATCCAAACTGTATTCAGTGTTATGACTTTTTAAATGATTCTGTGTCATAATTCTGACACATTTAGCTACAGTCAACACTAATATGTTGAGACCAACTACATATCAGAGACTGTGTAGGTAATATAGGAATGATAACTGAATTAGACAACCATGTCTACAAATTATTTTTATTACAGTTCATGAAAATGAAAATTATTTGGAAATAATATCTAAAGATTACCTGGTTGTCATATCTACTGAAAGGTTGATCCAGCCATAATAGTTGCTCATTCATATTTACCAGGTTGACATTGATCAATATAATGATATAGGTTTCAAGTATACAATTCCATAATACATGATCCATATATTGATTGCATTATGTGTTCAGTACCCAAAGTCAAATCTCCTTCAGTCATCATACATTTAACCCCCTTTACTCTTTACTACCTTCCTCTACTCCCCCTTATACTCCCTATTATTCTTATCAGTAACTAGCCAGTGACTCAAACAACTGAAGTACAGCATAGAGAAAACTTTAATCATCCACATAATATTCTATTGGTGACTTTTCTTTGTTTATATTATTACTAGAGGCCCGGTGCACAAAAATTTGTTCACTCGGGGGGCAGGGGGGCCCTTCAGCCTGGCCTGTGCCCTCTCGCAGTCTGGGACCCCTCGGGAGATAACGACCTGCTGGCTTAGGCCTGCTCCTGGGCAGGCCCAATCCCTAGGTGCAGCCCCTGGTCGGGCTCAGAGCAGGGCTGATTGAGGAGTTGGGGCGCCGCCCCCTGTCATGCACAGAGCAGGGTGGATCGGGAGGTTGCGATGCCACCCTCAGTCACACTCAGGGTAGGGCCAATTGGGGGGTTGGGGCACCGTCCCCTGTCACACTCAAGGCAGGGTCTATGGGGAGGTTGCGGCGCCACTCCCTGTCACGTACAGAGCAGGGCCCATCAGGGGGGTTGGGTCTCCTTACCCTGCCACGCACAGAGCAGGGCCCATCAGGGGGTTGAGGAGCTCCCCCCTGTCACTCACAGAGTAGGGCCAATAGGGGAGTTGGGGCACCGCCCCCTGTCACACACAGAGCAGGGCAATCAGGGGGTTGGGGCACCACCACTCTCACACTCAGGGCAGGGCTGATGGGGAGGTTATGGCTCTACCCTGTCACACACAGAGCAGGGCCCGTGGGGGGGGGGGGGGTTGGGGCGCCTTCCCCATCAGGAACAGAGCAGGGCGGATAGGGAGGTTGTGGCCCCGCCCCCTGTCACACACAGAGCTGCAGGGCGATCAGGGGGTTTGGGCGCTGCCCCCTGTCACGCTGATCCCGGTGCCGGGCGGCCTCTCGGCTCCACTGATCCCAGTGCTGGGAGGCATATTACCCTTTTACAATATAGGATAGAGGCCTGGTGCATGGGTGGGGCTGGCTGGTTTGCCCTGAAGGGTGTCCTGGATCAGGGTGGGGGTCCCCACTGGGGTGCCTGGCCAGCCTGGGTGAGGGGATGAGGCCTGAAGCTCCCAACTGCTCCTTTTTTTCTTTTTTTTTTTTAAATTCGGGGCCAGCTTTAGCTCTGGCTCCAGCTCTGAGGCCTCTGCTGCTGAAAATAGGTATCTGGTTTGTTTGGGTTCTATAATCGAAACAATGTATAACTCCAGCTCTGAGATCCCGGCTCACTTCAGGTTTCTGGGGTTT